TTAGGGAGAGCCTGGACCACCAGGACAACGTGGATCACCAGGCATTACGCCAAAGTATGTAGAGAAAAATTCTGAACCAATAATGGGTCCACCGGGCAAACCAGGAGCACCTGGAATACGTGGTCCAGGGAATTATGAATTCAAAATACGAAACATTGGAAAAAATAGTATAGTCATGACATCTAAAGGCTTATTTTCTAGCTGCTTATACAAAGCATCTCCAAGAAGTGCAATTTGGTATGATTATGGGAAAAAATACAGTTGCCTAATCACGGCGTCGACGTAGATCCTTTTTGAACTATTTCTTCATTCGTCAAAATATTATCAGTTGTATCTTTTGCAAGAGCTTTTGCGAATGCTTCTTCCACTCTCATCTCATCGCTCTGCAAAATTTTTAAAAATGCAAAAAATAAGCTTCATTTTTTAGATTTCATTTGTAGAGAAGTCGAATAACAAATCATATTAGACCAATAAAAAAATTAAAGAATAGCACTAACAAGGAAATGAAATCGGGAAAGTAATTTACACTACAGAAAAACCACTAAACAACATGAAAATCAAATATAGGAATGCAATTTTTTCAGAAGAAAAAAAAGATATGTAACGCACCTCAGCTATCAAACCATGCTGCACTAATTCGGCCGCTAATATACTTGCGCTATCATTCTCAGTTATTCTGGCTGTCAATTGCCGATTCATCATATCATCTAATTGAACAATTAATGTTAATAGTGACCCTGTAAAGCACGATGCTTATCATATGTTGACATGCGAAATAACAATGCATATATATACATGTTAACAAACTAGACTTATCAATTTTTGAATTTAGATTATAACGAAGACATCTGATTTAAGAAATAAAATTGAAGTAAAAATTCAAGATAGATTATTCACTGATCTGTATTTTCCTCATATAAATTTAAAATTACCGTTAAGTGTGACAGTACATTTGATGATTGACCTGCTTTCTTTGTATTCTACCGGTGAATCTGCTGGAGGGGAGGGTGTCGGTTCCGGTTTGTCACCATCTGACCCGCGATCTTCTATAAAAGTTACGAACTTTCAGTTTGGAGAAGTGATAGAAACTACCTACTAGAATATTAATGCTTAACTGAAAAGAAACCATATCATATTTTAAGAAAATTGTCCAAGTACCATGTTGCTGCTCGCCAACTGTAGCAGATGAAGATGGTGAAGTCGTCATTCTCTGATGGTGAGAAAGAGGGGTAAATGCAACAAGCGGATATATTCCATTACTAACATCTTCCAAAAATTTTTCCAGATCTACCTGAAATAATCGTGTGCTGCAAATATTATTACATGGACGGAAATGTAACCTTACGTCTGCTTTTCAAAAACAAGAGACGATGGTAACGTTATCTGTAAAACTATTTCATTTATAAACTGACTATCATTTCGAACCAACGGATTATCACCATTACATTGCAATGTTTTCTTAATATGATAAAAAATATATTAGACAGGTATTTTAATCAGATGGAAGAATACCTGAAAAGAAGGGACCTGGTTATAAGCCATTTCGCAAAATCCTGATGTCGCTGCAATGCGATTCGGATCCTCTACATGTAGATCATCTTCGTTTAAACTATCATTCAATTTTGATGAGACAATACAGTGAGCAGCCAATAATTTTAAAGAATGCACCTGAGTCAGATATGAAGATAATGTCATTTAGAAGTTTTTTCTGTGAATTCCTATTAACTTTTTTGATAATAATTATTTTGCCACATTGATCTAAGTGACTCACCGAGTATTGATACCACGGGCTACAATAAAGCGTGTATCACTTTTACTTGAAGCACTAAAAAGAAAGCACAAAAAATCAAATGTAACGACTACCTCAAGCAAAATAGTATGGAATAATAAGTCGCGAGCAGTGGGCCTTTTAGATACGTCCTGATTCAAACAGCTCTCAATAAAATCCTGAAATATAATTCCATATTCAAGACAATTGAAAATGTTAATAGGAGTGCCTTCTTTGCAATAAATGTAACCGAGACTTCCAAATATCTTGTAAATGTGAAATGCAGTTCTGGATATTAACAAACATGAATCAAAATAATTAAAGAATCGAAATTAAACAGAAAACCGAATACTAATAATTTAAGTTCTCACTCTTTGCATAGGATCTTCCAATGATTCCAGTCCTCTCCTAACCATCTCTTGTGAAACGACACTTGTTTCAGTACCATTTGAAGAGCCGCACAAACCCATCGGTAAAGCCATCTGAAATATCAATAAAAATTGCAGAGACTTCAAAATACATGCTAGGACAAGCACAAGTTTGAAACCTGAGGCGGATAACTCAGCCCCCGGTTCAATCCTTTTTGTGGTCAGAACTTACACTGCCAATACTTAAGCTCATATTCGAGATTAAACTTGCCTCTAGCGCACATATTCCAAAGGAATAGATGTCAGCTGGCGGAGCTACAGCATTACAATCTGGAATCAAACTATTAAAAATTAAAAAAATCAGGAGTAATCAAAACTGCAAACGACGCTTTTGGTAGAGGAAATGGTATCGTATCTGAAAAAACAAAAATTTATTCCGCAGACCCCAAAGAGAAAGAATTAAGAACAAGAGACCCCAACTTTTATCACGAGGCCACAACGAAAATTGCAATCTTGATTACAATTTCCCTAACAACACAGTTCTTCATATGGAAAGCTTACGTTCATATTCAGGCGCAATGTAATGCATATTTCTGATATTCTCTTGAAACGTCTTCACATGATGTTGAATAGCAGTTGGAGCGACTAAAAGAAGACTACAGGTATGTAATAAATTTCATGAAATGCTAAAGCTTCACAAAATCGTTTTTATAAAACAATTTTTACTAAAAAGAGAAACAATTCAATTCCATTACAATAACCTGTTCAGTTCATCGTGTGTCAAAGACAAGCAGAAAATTGGTATAATAATTAAAGTGATTTGAGTATCTTACCACAACCGATCTTGATCAAACCATTATGTTGAATAAACATTGTGTTGCAAGTAAGATTTGCGTGAACGACTGGAGGGTTACATGAGTGCAAATAATTCAAAGCAGAGAGAATTTGGGTAGTCCATTTTTTCCAAGCCTAAAAACAAATCGCTTAGACAAGATAATGATTATTAAAAAAAAGAAAAAAAAAATGGCGATGCAATGAAAAAGAAAAATCAAGAGATATGTAGAGTAAAAGAGAATTTATACACAAATCGAGTTAGAAAAAGTCGAACGCTATTCCTTTCAAGTGAAAGAAACAAGATATTTAACCTTCAAATTTAAAGTAGCTCCGGATTTGCGAGTACGTTGTAAGAATCGTGCCAATGAACCAGATGACATATACTCTGTTATGAATATTATCTGAAATAATACGAAGAAAATTGATATACCGAATTTCACAAATTTTAAGACCTAGTTTAATTGAAAGCTAACTAAGTTTGAAGCTATCAAAAAAAAGATAGCCTACATCATTCTGGAACAAAATGATGCTATTATTAGCACACTAACGAGCTATTAGGAGAATAATATGAACAAAAAAAAGATAAAAGTACATTTATTTATTCGTTCATTTACAAATAAATGTTCATGAAATACCATAAACCCCCCCAAGATAGGTTCTGGAATTTAAAACCAAAATTTCCCATAATTTCCTTATCCCTTCTTAAATCTCGTATATAATCCCTTGAATGGCGGGATGAAAGAAGGAACAGTAGCCGAGTACCCCAAATCTCGAAATAGACTCAAAAATTGAAAACTTTCAAATCTTCATGGCTAAAAAAATTTTCATCTAAACGAACCCTTGGTTTGTCAGATTTCGAATCTGTCCAATATTTATGAAATTTAACGAGATTCGTATGCACGAGATGAGTCAGCTCGTCGAAAACTGCGTTTATATGTTCTTCTTGTGAACGGAAATTTCTGCGTTCGGAGAAGAGAACTTCATTCCACACCACTTCGTTACCTGTTTCATTGTCCATTGCTAAATAAGCATAATCGATCCCAGGGACATTACGCTGCTTTACTTGTTCACGCCGTTTACTCCATCTTTTGCATGGACTTTCCTCTAATATCTAGAAAAAAATGACCAACACATATGATCCGAAATAAAATGCAGCTAAACTTCTTTTGCAAAAAACGAAATGGAAAAGTGCACAAGGCAGCTTTTTACAATAAAAATATTACAAAAAACGACTAATGTATTATAGTGATGATAACCAGGGTAATTAATTGGTAGAGGAAGTGATTAATAAGTTTCACGACCACATTTAAAATCTCTTGATGTTTCCTTCAACGAAGAATTTATGAGGAAGAATTTGAAAGTCAAGAATATAGAGATTGCAAGGCTAAGTTGAATTACATGTAGCTCTTTAAAGTTACATGTAAAGGTTTAAAAAAGACAATGACTAGGCCGAAAAATTATATATCACCATTCAATACTCATATCCAATACTAATCATTAACCATTAACTCCATTTTTTTTAAGATTACATATCACTATTCAATACTAACTGTTAACTTTATATAAAAAACTAATAAGACTCATTATTCCAAAAGCAAACTTACCTCACTATTGTTGAAATACAAGTGAGAAGTGTCTAAGGACATGCCTACAGGCACGGATGTATTTCCCAACAGCAACTGACCCACATCATTTAAAATAAATCCAATGATGGATGGTCAAGGGTGGGCATGATAAACCTACCCATTCAACCCGCGCAAGAGAATATAGAAGCATTCATATAAGTTATTAGTCATTTATCTAGTGCACGAATTCTAACTTCGGAATCTTTCGAATAGTTACACAATTCTTTAGGTGGAGTTTACTTCCACTAAAAAATGATTGCAGAAAACAATATTACACAAAAGTTTGATCACAAGAGCAGGGACGATCAACAAAGTTGAAGATCTCCAAAAAAAGAAGAAACTTGCAAGCAGCATAAATCCAACGAAAGTTAATCTACAAAATTACACTACTAATTCACAATTCATAAAACTTTTTAAACAAACCTCTTCAGCTCCTTCGCCTTCGGAATCACTATCCTTGCTATTACTGCCACCTTTTAGATCATGACCATGTTTGGCTGCCGTATCAGTTGTATATGATGTAGCAGTAGAAACGACATTCGTTGAAGTCGCAGAATTCATGCTAACGATATTGGTCACTAAACAACTGTCGTAATTGCAAATTTTCAGATCCTTTATTTCACCTCTTGCTTCTTGAAAATGTTTTGCTACAGCACCACAATAAAGCGCTGTTGCTAGTGCTGCTATGCAGCCCCCAGTACAAGAAACTGCTGAGCAGCTTTCAAGACTGTGCCGATCATACGGCTTTAGCAATATACAGGGACGATTCAACTTGACTGCTTCAATGATTTAGAAGTTTCCGTGACGGCACGATTTTGTGGTTGAAATGCTGAGCACAAATGCTCCACTCGAAAGCAAAATCAGGTCAGAAATTAAGTAGGGAGGCTGTAATGACTCAAGTTCTTAGTGTTTTTTTCTGCGATTGTAGTAGTTGCCAACGAGTCTAATTTAGCTCTCCAGGGACAGATTAAAGAATTGTATGAGTCCAAAATAAATATAAGTTTTCGCCGTCAATTCACTTTCCAAATGTGCTTATAAGTGATGTCAGTTCTGAAATACAAGCAATTTTATGAACTTCATAAACAGCAACATTATTAGCAAGAAGAGCGAAGAAAACAAAATGCTTTGTATAAAATTTGATCCGAAAAACCATCACTTGCACAATGCAGTGACAGTTGCACAAACCGTACGGTGTATTAATGATTGAACAGTGTCATTCAGAGCGCAGGAACAGAATGCAACAAACGTTGCAAAAAAACCTTCATTAACCTCAAAGAATGTACGTGAATAGTGATATAGCCTATTCGACATCTTTTTTATTAAACAGAAATTACATCGAGAAATGTCATTATTTTTCACTAGCACGAATAAAAATGCAGTTGGAGCCATAATTGTACTCCAAATAAACTAAGAATCTTGCGCCATTTCACACATTTCAATTATACAATTAAATATAAAGCGAATCTAAATCTGATTAATCTGTAAAATCTTACTTGATTCAATTTGAGCACTGCGAATATAAATTCCAAAAAAACTAAAATATATATTTATAATGATAGCATAAACGTATCGAACATGATGAATAACAGCAGTTATTATTCATGAACGGATAAGGTCAAATTAATCTATTCATCTAACCATCCAGTTATAATTCATTCACTACTCAGTAATTAACTGTCAAGCAGCGTTCACACCACCCCACAATCATTTGTTTTCGTACTTTAGTTGTTGATTATCATCTGTTCGATGATTTCATTGGTATGCAGTCAGGATATCATATTTTTCAGTAGATAATAGTAATGCAGAACTTGAACAGTAGCTGGCTGATTCCTATGTTTATAACATATCAACGTAAATAAGATTCTATTTGATGTGCAATCATATCGAGGCTGTTAAATTAATTTTTAAGAGTTCCTGAAAATATGGTAAAGAAAGAGTCTCTTGAAATCCAACAAACATCTCCACAATGGCATATCATTCATTTTTCTATTACAGGTCAATTCTGCGCTGTGATTTCCAATAATGAAACATACTGCATTCATGTGTATAGTCAACATAAAAGTAGGAGGAAAGCACAATCCCAAAGTTCCCCTATAAATGGTAAGCGGTTTAATAATTAAGAAAATCTATGCTGCATTTAAGACAAGACTACAGAAATAAGGTATTTTGTACAAGGCATGTTTGAGCAAAAGCGCAAAAAAGGCAAAAAAAAGTACCGATTGCTGCTGCTGGTTCTTGACAAAAAACTGGGACGCAGAGCATTAAAAAAATACATGTTGCACAATGCATCTTCATCTGTAAAACCCTCGAATTGTCTACATTTCACAATTTCCCTTTCCTCTCCTACAGTTATATCACAACACTAATATTCGAAGTAACATTCCCATCAATCCATTCCTCGCATATACATAATGATAAATCACTGTAAAAGTGATAAATTTCTGCGCTACTGACTGCATGTATGTTCCGATCCAACACTAACAAACCACTCATCACTACATACTTCATACATCAACATCTCTTTCGGGAAAAAACATCGATCGCTTTTTTATCTGTCAAGTTCATTTGGTGCCATTACTAGCTAACTACAATTTCAATCAGCAAAACTTCCAGCTTCACCTCCGGAAATATACTGTCTGCATGGGAGAATCACAAGAAAAATTAATTCATCACCCAAATCTTTCCACAAAAGCGCTACGAATTTTTTGAATCTTTCCCACGCTCTTTTTAATGAACACTGTTTAATTCTTCTTTCCGTAATGTTCAACATGTTCAACAACATTCTTTGAGACATAAGCTTGATATCAATCCCTCCGAAATAAACGTATGAAGTTAATGAAATCTGCACAACTTTCACTTATACTAATCAAACTGCAAGATTATATACACTTCTTTTAATTGCTTGACCGTGAATTATAGGACTACAAATCAATTCTTATGACACGTACTTCCGACTTAGCAGATACATTTGCAACAATATAAAAATAAATCCAAATAAAAGTTTTAAATACGTTAGTTATAGGTTGCCCCGGACACATCTGCAAGCTTTCCGGGAATTTATTTCGTAACAATAAAGATTTGAGAAAATTATCTCTGTCGCTTCTCTGTAAAGTAGAAAGAAGCGATCAGGGTGAAATTGTAGAAATGACCCGAAATGGGGAAAACTATGAAAGATATAAGGTTGTCAGTATTGCTCAAAACCTTCCATCAATACATTAGAGATCAAAGGTGCGAAATGGGAGAAGGGGCTTGCTGCTGAAATGGGCACTATCACTACAACAAAATTACAAATTGCCGAAAGGACCTATCTTTCATTCAAATTGGCATAGCCGTACTCTATGAGGAAAAATATGAACATCCTACTCATATATCTTCAATTAATTAATCAATAAAGTTTTACAAAAAAAAACAAGCAGAAATATAGCAAAACATTTGAAAGTATGGTGACCATAAAGAAATGACGCGATGGACGTCCCTTGAAGGTGAAGACATGAAGAGATGGCCAACTAGATCGATGACCTGGTAGCGAGAGTGACAGCAGAGAAGGCAAAATAAGAAGGGACAAAGCGAATAGAGGCAAAGATACTACGAGTATGGATAGGCGACCCATGGGTTGACCTGTCCAGGGACACTAATTTTTATCTCTTCACTCACAAATATAAGGAAGATCCCTTTCTCTCTCCTCGATGAACCTCCCAAAGACAGACGGATAGACGGCTTTGCCACTGCACGACACTCCCACCCACGCCGATCGATACACGCCTACCCGCAGACATATACACACGCATGCCACAGACGCCATAATCAGGTCCGCCGTCTAGACGTTCTCTCCAATTTGCAGTGTAAAGATTTTTGGCATTGAGCCAACTTTTGCCTTCAGTCTCACAGTTGATAATAGATAATGCGGTAGTTTATAGTTTATAGAAAAGGGACCATCTACAAGAGAAAGAGGGAAGGTCAAAGATTACAAAAGCCACTCAGAGGTCAAATCTCACTATTAATATGATTGTTAGATAATAAAAGGGACTGACATTTTCCGTCATAATGCGACAGCACATATCTCATGCAAGAATTCGGCATATTTCGTTTTTTTAAGAGGCTTACTGACCTATGTCATCACACAATAATGCATCGTAAACGCATTTATTGAAGTGTCTTACAGAATGGTTCCTTATCGTGTCAACGGAAATCAATTCTCTGGTGATCTTTTCAACGACCTATTCATGCAGTTACTTTTTCGACTTTCATCATTTACTTCATCTACTTACTTTTAACTTTATAGCGTATTATCCTAATTGTTTCGTCGTTCCAAATGATCTCATACCATAGTGCTCGATAAATTCTGTTACTGGAACTTCGGAAATTACGCATGTTGCAAATTGTACTTACAAAAGATTCTAACGTGTTCCCATCTCCTGCTTTTTCAGCTTTAATTGGACTAAAACAATTCGAAATGTAGTGAAAAGTAGTGAAGTGATCATATATCACAGCTTGAAAATCCTTTGGTATTTAGAGATAACGAGAAAAAAAACAAAACACAAACAGTAACAAATTCAATTAACTCTTCAGTAAGAGATTCTTGATCATTAAGACTCAGACGATAGTAATAGAATAGGATATTTTGGAAAGGTACTTTAAAATGCACTTTCGCCGGCGATGTTATGAATCTTGAACCCCTGTCAAAACTTCGCATGACCAAGTTTTATGTCACATGATCACTTCTTATGTCCAAGTTTCCGCTGGACAAGGGCTAAGAAGGACCAAAAATAACCCAAACAAGCCTCTTCACTGATTGAAGTAGAAACTGAGAAACTGTTTGCATTCGACATATCCAATTCATTGTTGACGCATTAACACTAACAATGCCTACTCTGCAAACAAAACAAGTAATAATAGCAAATTCAAGAGCTCGTAAAGCATGCATGTTTGGACTAAACCCAACCATATAATATATAACTTGAAGTTATATCTATACTATAGGATTCAACAAGCGAGCTTGTCATCATGGTTAGGCAGAACAAAAGTGGCTGTCAAGTTCCATGAGAAATCAGGAAATTCCAATAAACATCGCTGTTTATTTTTCGATACCTGTATTCATCCTCAACAAAACTTGTATACAGATTTCACACTATTGATAAGGACGCGATAGTTCACGGATCTCAAAGCAGAGCCACATTATAATCTCAATTGTAGACATGTTGCGTAAAATTTTATTCAAATATTGAATACCTAGCAACTTACTCAGTAATACTTAAGAATTGATTTCAATTTACACATTTATTCACAAATAAATATGAAAGATACGACACTGATAAAGAAATACTATCGCCTGATAAAAGTTGCTACAATTGAAGTTTAGCAATATGTAGTACACAATTAACAAGCTGCAATAGACGTGACCCATACTAAACAACTAATACATAGAGAAAATTAATCTTTCGTGGCAATCGAAGCACCATTACGGTTCGATAAGTTGTAACTTTCAGCAAGTTCAGATAAGAATGAATCCTTGTGAGATTATCTTCGTCCAATTTGATATTTTCAAGCTGAAACTTGCAGCCTTTCTTGTTGCTGAATTACCTTTTCATCCCCTAAAATATTCTCTAAAAATATTTCATTGGAGGGCATTTCTTTTGGTGCCAGCATTGCTTCTCGAAGTAAACAACGTGAACTGAAGCAGAATTTGCAACGATATGACAGCTGTGATGATGGCCTACGACCCATTAAATGATTCTTGATTAATTCTGCAAAGCCATGTGCCATAACCGGTGAAAACCCGGGTGGTGAAAGTAAATCGACACCCTGCAAATAATAGATTATGAGAAGTGAAAAAACTAAGATCTGATAAAATATACAGATATTTTTTATAAAGAATTTTATACCAAACTCCGTTTACTACATCAAAATGTTAATTTAAAACTACGGATTTTTTATTCCCAAAATTCATTCTTTATTATCGAATCAAAACAATGAAAGGAAAATACAACCAAATTACCGTTCGAAAATCCCTCCCTCCACCACAGAAAATTTGAAATCGTTGGGTTCAATTATATGTACTATTTCGCATTAAATAATAAGAACAAAAATTAGTGTCCGTGAACTCATGTTTACTCCCAGTATTAATATTAGTATTAATATATCATTATTAATATCAGTTAAATAAAAGTATTCTTTGATGAAAGCAATTTATGAATAGTAATTGGAAGCGAATACTATCACCTTACCTCATTTTGTAAAATATATGGCAGTAAAGTTTCACTTTCGAAAGAAGGCATGATTGATGCAATAGGCACAACTAAAGTACGATATCGTCTCTCCCTTCTTAGAAAATACAACTGTAATTTAATACTTTCCAACGTTGTTGTTGGCCACTGGTCCCAGCCGCTATACCATGCAAGTTTCCATGGTACAACTTCGTTCAGATATTCCATTAAGCGATAACAAGTTGCCCAAACTTCTCGTGTGTAGCCAGAAGAGTTGTAACCACGCTAAAATATGGTATATAATCCCGATAGTAATCCTATCAAAGTTTTATAGGCTGGTCCGCGTAAAGCAATAATAATCAGTTATAAATATGAATTTACTAAATTTTGGAATAGACGTCGAAAAACTAAATGATTCTGGACTTATTTCGCAGTTTAAATGAAATCTCTATACTGACATATTTATTCATTTGGAAAAGATTTATAACTCTTCACGTAAATTCTAAAAGTTAAAATGATGAAATAACATCATTTTGATTATCTAGTTTTTTTACGGCTAAAGTTAATGTGTCGACAAGCTTAAGCTATATGAAAATGGAAAAAATAGATTAGATAGAAAAAACAAATAAAATCTCCCCCTTAGAGATTTTATTTCTTGCATTAAATGAAAAAAGTTGTAAATTTGTCATTGTAAAAGGAAAAAGTTTTTTTAAAAAATAAACCATTTGTGGCGCGACAAAAAGTAAGCTGTCGTGATCCTTCAGTCCGGCACAGAGCAAATTATACCAGAGCTAAACTGTGAGAAAAAATTAGCAAGCTTTTCAATAAATTTCAAAGAATACACTAAATGGCAGCACTTTTGTTAAAGAAGCATAGTACCTTTTCGTCATACCTTCTTGGAAGTCCTATAAATTTATTTCCTCAATACTGCTCAAGGCAGAAAATCTTGGTTTCTTTTCAGTACCTTGACTTAGGATTTTTCTAGAAATCTTATTAAGGCCAATGCGCACCTGCCTTCTTTTCCAGATAAATGCTGAATTGGATATATATAATTGAACGATATCAAAGCAACGGATATGATTCGAAAAACCGGGTTCAGATTACACAGGCTTTACTGTTATTGAGACAAAACTTTCTCAATGAGCAAGGGAAGCAAATTAACGCTAATAAAAAAAAGAAATGAGTCTTAAAAATTTTAAATGGATCTCTAAACAACTCACATTGACGATAGCTGGATGATTACTCCATCGGTCAATAGTACTACAACGAAACGAGACATGGGACATGGTTCTCACTCTATAATCCATTAAATGTATACCATCTTCTGATAGTGGTTTTGTTTGCTCATCAAGAGCATTAACGGCAATATTTAACATCGTCCCAGTTTGAAAACATGAATAATGTGGATACAGTGGTAATAAAATTAACCTCTGCATGCCTTGTCTGAAAAAAAAATCAGCTACATGACACTTCAAATATATTAAAATTCCGAAATTTAACTAAAATAAATTGAGGACAAGTTTTGCCTCACTGACAACTTTGAAAATCAAAAGCAAAATCATGCCTTATTGTTGATAGATACCTTCCTGAGAAAAAAAACCAACTTATTCATACAAGTTGAAATCACCTTATCAATTCACTGATAGTTTTCGGGATAGCTGGTTCGTCGTAAAGAAATGCATGGGTGCAGTAGAATGACCGATGTTCCGGAACTAATTCATTCAAATATTCCTGCAGTATTTTCGAATATGTACTGATAAGATGTGTGAGGTTCTCACTGTATTTGTAATCGTCAACACAAATGTTAACTTTCTTCGCCAATGGCCAGTGTAATCGTGTCATGTGTCTTCAATTAAATGATTTTTAAAACATTTTTCTTCAAATTTTGAATGCGAAAGAAATACATCATTAGAAAGAATTTTTTCTTCCCTTCTTCCTTAAACTAAGTATTGAGCATAGCTAACATATAAAAAGAATACGAAACCTTCCTACCATTGAAAGCGATTGAACTCAGTGACAAGTGTCACAGTGTCACGCTATGTACAACGCAGTTTTAATAAATATATCAGAACTTCATGAAATTAAAATTAAAAAAAACATGCGTACGAGGTAAGCCAGAGAGGTAACTTGTAATAATAATGAGCGCCTTCAGCCAAATGCTTCTTTGCATAATATGGTGTCCTCGGCTGTCCATGATGTAACATCAAAACCGCTGTCTTCGTCGTTTCTTGTACATTGAGCCTTGAATTTTCCGCCGAAATAGCTCCGAAGACATTTGAACTTGAACCATTAGCTTTTACACATTCAATATGAGGAAGCAGTCTTTTGCTCAACAGCCATCTGGTCATTGCCAATCTGCACTTAAGTGGATTTCAGTTACTAGCACTTTATGTAAGCTAATATTACAATATGCCATACAAAAGCAAATAAAGTATGAGGAAGAAATCAAAATAATGAAATAAAATTTAAGCAGTTCCCACACTTTAAATTTGATTTTGTTATTTCGGTTTCAGTCAGCTGATTCCACTCATCTCTGATCGAATGGGTTGCTCGTGAAAGAGGAGAGTTCCAGTTTCGTTTAAATGCACAAAAATACGATGAAAAACTCGAAGGAAATAGAGAGAGAAGGAGAGAAAGCAGAGAGAAAAAGAGAAAGGTAACTCGAAGGAGGTAAAGAGAGAAGGAGAGAAAGCAGAAGAGAGAAAAAGGAAGGAGGGAAAGGAAAGAGAAGAAAAAAGAACAGATTCATAGTAACTGAAACCTAAGGCCTCCTTTTCGCCACTCACACACAAACCTGCTGAAAAAATATTTCAAAAAGAAGCGTCGTATCGTCTTTCGCAGCGAAATTTTGCTACCATGTTCGTACTATTATTGTTTTGATCACGTTATGAAATTAATTGTCCCACATTCCTCTGTTGATATTTCGATGTACATGGAATTGCCTAATGCCTTATTGGAGTTTTACGAGATTTTTAACCATAGATAATAAATGTATGAGAGTTTTGTAGAGTTGAAACTCAGTAATGTAATTTTGAGATGAACATTGTCGCATATTGATCCCGGGAGTATCCGGTATGAAATGCTAAATTTTCATACTGTCAAATCCCACAATTCTACTTATTAATTTTAAGATTGAAATTTAGCACTCTGAAAATCGGTTCAAAAGCGATAGGCATTAACATATGAGGATATCTGGAAATTGGTGGAAACAATGATTTACTAAATAATTCATGGATAATTTAATTCAGATAACTTCTTGCAGAGAAAGCAATCCCATGAAATTGAGCAATAACAGACATGTAATGATATTAGATGTTCAGTATTGTGTACGAGAATATATGTTATAACGTTAGTAAAGCATGAGCCTTTAAAATTATTCCTCAATCTTTGGCATCTTATGTTACAGTTGCGAATTTTGAAAAAGCACGAGTGAATTTTCAAATTTCTGTAACGTAGTATGAGAAAGTTGTCAAATGTTGAGATGACAAATAAGTATTTAAGAGAATGTGAGAAACTGTAGCAACTTGCTGTAACAATTGTAACAACTTACTCTACTTATACAGTTTAATCGTCAATCCATAATATTGCTTTGAGAAAAAGTTGATTTCAAATAAAACTAACTGAACAGAAATCTGTTTCAACCAGAACTTATCATTCAATCAATTCATCAATATCCCATTTACCACAGCGTTTTTTTACCCTTTGAACTTTCATATGGTAGGTTATTTCATTCAAGAATATTCACTTTAAAAAGAAAAAAAAGTGAATGATCTCTATTTCTTATACATTTCAAACGAAATTTACAATTTTATGATACGTTCCCCTCATCAGTGAATTTTTTCGTTCTTTCTTATCTTTGAAATATTCCAATATTTCGCATGTTTAATTAATGACATTCTTCTTTTTTTGTGATCTTGAGGTTTTGAAATTGATCCATTTTTTTCCTGGTATATGGACGGGGAAAAAAGATACCTTACCCATTACTGTCAGGGAGGTGATCGAAAGGCATTAGGGGTGTGAGAATATGCCGCAACTCGTTGTTAATCATAGAGCGGCGTTTTTTCCCTTTTTTTTCAACATCTTTTCAACTCTTTTTCACCGTAACAATTTTCAACAACGTATAATAAAAAAACTATCCGATTGACATGTTACTTGCAAAAAAGCAATCCAATAATGCTTCCTGCATGTTTTTCATTACATATTTTGTGAAAAAAAGAAAACTGAATTTTGTTTTGTTTGAAGTTACCCTGGTACTTGCATGGTACTAAGCATACTCGGCATATAGAATGAATTTGTTTGATATGGATGAAAACTTAATTTTTAATGTTACTTATAAAATCAAATTAATAATACTTATACGGTAGGACAGTATGGTACGTTGCCAGTTACGTTTTACTTTCTTGAAAATGATCAGACAAAGAAAGGGAGAGAGAGAGCATTACCATATACTTGTTATATTCAGTAAAATTTTATTGTTTCACATGTTAGTCAAATTAGATCAAATCCTTTTTTCTTCCACTTAATAAATAGATTAAACTGTCTTACTAAAAAAAGTTCAGGGATTTGAAAACAAAAGAGTAACCTTTTTATATTTTCATTGTTGTAACAAATGAATGAAGGCGCTTTTTTTGATAATTACTCTTGTAAGTAATTATCAAATGAGTAATATTGTGATAGAAAAATACAATTCATTGACATAATTTCAAAATATCTGCAATATATCGGGGGAAGTTAATTGCAGTGATGGAAATGTCAGTAAAAACTAGATTTTACACTCCGTGATTGGCATACAAGAGTGATGTTATTGCGCTCTTAATGATGTAATCAGGAAATTGGAATATTTTCCTGACAACTTAAATATTATACGGTTAATCGTTAAAATTCAGGACATAGACCTCACCAGACAATACCATTTCCAATCGGATCAATCTGTCAATCATTTAACACATACTGTTCAATTTCATTCTAAATAAATTTTATTTCATCACAAACAAAATATTCAAATTCATATCATTCCATTTATGCTTCATTTGCAAATTCACTACATAAGTAATATATATATACATATATAGAGGGTCAATGTATTAGATTAGAAGATGAGATAAAAATGAATTTTCACAGAATTGCAGTAATAATTGTTCCTGTGGTAAACGAATCATTCCCCTATGACATCACAATTATTCTATTGTTGTGGTAATAATTAGCTTAATCAAGGTTTATAGTTTGAAAACATACGTCCAAAAAGTACCAATTTTGAAAACTACTGAAATAAATTTTTAAGATTGTTAATTGGATTCTAACAATTTCTTTTTCAAACTATCTGGATTTGTTTGAAAATTTCTAACTAATAACTAATTGAGAACTGAACAAAAATGTAAGAATTATAATGGGAACATTTTATAATCATTTAAATGAAAAAAAACAAAAGAAATATTCTATCAGGTCAAAGTTCATTTCAAAAATAACTTTATCCAATTGTTTTTTTCGTTCCCTCCTATGAAATGCAAGAAGGCGTGAAAAACTAGTCTAAGTTTAAGCAAAAAAAAGATACACTTTCTTACTCACTTTAATGTTTCGGTGTTGCGCAAACCAAAAAATGATTATGTCAGTTATGGGTCAAATGGTAACGGGTGGTTGATTATTCATAAACAATTCTATCAGATCAAAGTTCATTTAGCTAATTGTTAATTCACTTCTTGATCCTTCTTGGCATATAATTCTTCCATTCAAATATTTCATCTATTCATTCATTCACAAATATAAATGAATGGTGAAAGATTGATCACTGATCGAATTCTCTCATCATCTTTCACTATTGCGTAATTGCTTGCTTCATCATGCAAATCTAAATTCATACATAATATTGCAATGATAAGAGATTCTTTCTTTTTTAATTTAAAAAGATAACGCTGATAATTAATTAATTAATCATTTAAGTTTATCCCTTTGTAATTCCCTAATATATTCATTTGAAGAAAAAGTTTTCTCACAAAAATTTAAAGTACATTAAAAATTCGTTTCCTTTCGATTCGCTTACAATTTTCACATATCAATCAACAAGCTAATAGCGTATCCCTCATTTTCTAATTGTGAAAAATTTTCTTCCGCTTCTATCATTTCTCTAAAACTATCATTTCCAATGTACAGAAAAGAAATGACTTGTTGAATTGATGTTAGCAATATGTAAATTCAAATGAATGCAAATACTAAATAATTAAATTTAGTGATAGTAAACGAAATAACTGTGTGCAGTAAAAAGAAATAATTTTGCTTACAGTTTGATAAATGCTTCTTAAAGATTGAAACCTATAAATTACAATTCCTTTTGTTCATAACAATGGAAATGGCATACGGCATTTAAAACTTCGATAATTAAAATAATCTTAACTGATACTCCATTTCTTGTTGTCTGTACAGTCCATAGTGACCGTTGTATGTAGATTATTCCATATTGTTCGATCCATTTAAAATTTTAATATTTTAGTCGAAAGTAGCAAAACTTCGAAATACCATATTTTTTAGATTTTTCTTTTCAGCCAACCTAATCGATCGATCATACAGGTATCAAAAAAATCTTTTCTTATAAAGCAGATAATGGTGGAGCATAGTAGCGGAAGGACCGGTATTATCCAATTTACTTGAATTAAAGCAGTTCCACTTGTACTTACTGGTAAATAACAATATGACAGATAATTTGTAGTTTGATAAGCAATTATCAGATTAGGTAGCTTATCTAATAAATGATCAAGATGTTTTATTGAATAAATATTTATGGCAAGGAAATTTAAAATATTCTCGTATAGTATTTCTGGATAGTTTCTCAGTGGTCATTTATTGGTTGGATTATTCATCCTATATCGTTCTTCAGATGTAAGAATGAATGAACAGCTTTTCTATGAATTTATTATTTGATAACTTACATTTGCAATCATTATGAAATTACATCTCTTCAAAGATTAGTATTCAAAAATTTTTCTCGATAATATCCCGATTAACTATTCGACAGCCATGAAAAGAGTTAAACATATATTTCAATTAGATATCATCAAAATCCGAATTTGAGAAATTTCATTTTTTTAATTCCTTCGTTACTTAATAATGATTTGGTAATCGTTTTTCATACTTGCATCTACAACGATATACGATAATAGTTCAGATTTTAATGTCAACAATTAAGAAAGATTATAACACTTAAAAAACTATTACACTTGCTCGAATAAAAATTTTAATGCTTCAAAAAAATGTTGCAAAATTGTTTAAAAATTTTCATTATCGTTTACTACCATATATTTTATAGCAGCAAACACTATCGATTATAATCAATTATGATATTTGATCCAATTATAAACTATTCATATTAAACAATGCAAAACAGGTTAATTTATAGATATCACACTTTAAATATTATTAATTAATAAGCTAAGGAATTATTTATAAAGAAATAAATTAGTATAAAATATACGAATGACATTAAAAGTTGAAAAAGCTGTCAGAAAGCGATGAATAATAGCTTTTAAAGATTTCTAGCATTAAAAATGAACAAAAATTTTTGTCTCAAAAGTTTTTTTCGGTATAAAAAAGATTGAAAATATGGAAGAAAGGCCTCAATCCTGTTTTCAATCATCCTTCAATCTTTCAACATAATAAAAACTTGTTTTTAATCTCTCAGCCATCAATACAATATAATGAATGTTCTATCTATCCAATAGCGCTTTTTCTGGCTGTAAGACCAAATTTCTCTTTCCATTGGCCATTAAACTGTCAAGAAGATTTGAAAATTTATCTTCTTAACAAAAATTTTATGAATTTCAATATGCAGATTTAACCCCAACCGACGTTTCCATTATATTAAGTAACTTAATGAATACTATTAATTACCATTTCCTCATTCATTTTTTCATTAACCTTATATTTGTCAAATTCACTTTAAGCAATGACTTTAAAATTATTTGGTCAAAATTTCTGTTTTTGAAATTTTTGTAGTTTCTTTATTAATAATTTGTACACTTTAAAATGAAAAAAAAGGGACAAGGCTTGTTGGATTCAGAAATACTGCAGCTAGAAACTAGACCCAGCAATTTACAGATCCTATAACAACAATAATATGCGCTTTTGTAATTTACATCATTCAAGATAACTGAGAATTCCATCAATATTCTCATCTGCCGTTCTTCATAGCCATAAAGCTGACTCGAATATTGGACATAGGATTAATGAATCTTTAAGAGGTCAATGAATCTTTAAAGGGCCAAAACCAACTATTGGGAAAGAAAGCAATATATTAGCTGCTGTAACATTGATGTTATGTGGGTGATGATCTCGGGAAACATTTCTGAGATAACCTTCCATCTTTTTTTTCAAGTTGTTTTCTTTGCAAGAAATTTTGAAATAGTTTTGTGATCGCAGAAGTTCATCTACACCGTCTGCGTATAACCAACCAGAAATTTCAACCCTGCGGGAATCTCCTGTTGCTATATTTCACATCCATTCCCCCTAACTGTGCAAACGGGATGGCGGTAAGACTAAAACCATTTTTCATTTTTTTTTGAAAATCTTTTGGCCTCCTTGCGATATCCAAAAAACATCAGTTTTCATTTCCGCTATAATTTACATCCCATACCAAAGAGTAAACAATAACATTACCGCTTTCTCTGATATATACGCGCATCTTCCCACCCTTAAATCCGAATATCTCAGAAATACAGTGAAATACCGATTCACCGAGGAAAAATGATTAAATGAAAGAAATTTATATTGCTAACTTCTGATCATTTCTACGTACAAAGCACTTTCACATATCATTACTCTATCCTTTGGCATCTTTCAATCTTGCATCTCTGTCAACATTTTCAGTAAATTTTATTCGAAATTCTATTCATACATAGAAAAAAACACTAATGAACATAGCAGTGAATGACAGGAAAACGGAAAACATAAGTGGTCACAACAAATGTGCTATATAATGTAAATCGTACATGTTCATGGTAACAAGAAAAGAAATTTTAAAACCTGTGAATTGAAACAGCTGGTAATAAATCTTCCCTAATTTATCCCGCATCGAATTTTCCAACAGTGATTAAAAATAGGAAAAAAAAGATGGGAAAAGTGAATTAAAATCATATGCTATAATAACCCAATGATAATTCTCACAAATATGGGAAAGAAGCACTGTGAACGATTAAAATTATGTTAAATCATTTTTTTTAATTAAAATAATTATTAAATTTCTAAAGGAAGGAAAATGATAAAATGCATTATTTATTCAACAACATAATAACAACACTTTATGATACAAGAAAATGTAAGTATATAATAGAAACGAACTGAATGAATGAATAAATGAAATTATAAATGCACTGACTGGATAGCTATAAATTATCATTATAGCATTTATAAGAAACATATCCAAAAATATCATGTGCTGTTAAATTAACATTTATGTTGTAATTAATTAGGTAATAGAGTGCACCAATTTAGCAATTAGCAATGCATATCATACTGTTTCACTACTCCAAAATAGTTAACAGTGATAATAATGATATGGTACTCTTAATTTGTAATTGACAAAACTGTTGTAAAACATCGAATCATACATAAAGACAATGAGATTAATACTTGTATTTGTTAACAAAAAAAAAGTATGTGAATATACCGGATTTGTTATAAGAATAGAAGGTAAAGAAATGTAGTAATCAACGGATGACTAACTATTAAACTATGCGACATATAATTATTCCGAAATGTTTCTCAAAAAAACTGCAAAAAATTTGAAAACCCGGTAAACTCACATATAATTTCTTTTTTTTTTGTCATACAGGAATAGTGTATTAAAATCTTTTTAAAAACAAAATAATCAGATACATATATGTGTATATATCAGATACATGTATATATCTGATATATATATATATATATGAACAGAGAAATCAAAATTTTTTTCTTTAAAATTTTAAACAAAAACTTTAAAAAGTAACCTTTTAAAAATTATTCATTCTTTATATTATTTTTTAATACTTCTAAAAAATTTTCATAAATTTAACCAAAAAATATAAGTTGAATTATGAATGAATAAACTATAAAAGAATTTTAACAAATGATTTGTTTTAAAAACATAACTGAAAGTCTAAAAACGATTACATTTAGAAGACGGTACTGTACATCGAAGCATCGAACGATGCTAGAAAAATATAAAATTGATCTGAAATATTTTAAACAAAAAGAAAATGTTATATGAGGTCAGAGAAATTCATGCAGTGATGATGAAGATGATAGAGAGATGAAAAATAACTATTTAAAAAGCCAATATGAAATTTAAAAATTGTTTATTAGTTTATTTAAATGACTTCATTATTCTCATCTGATATGGACTTGATGATAGCAGAGTTTAAAAAATCAGCATACAAATTCTGCACATTATTATTTTCTGATAACCATATTAATAATGTATAGTAAAGAGTATATCAAAGTCAAACTGTCGCAATAAAAATCACGTCTTTTTTTGCATTTTTTGAATTTTGAGACCGCAGAGAAGAAGTTTCAATAAATTTACTTTTTTACATTCGATTGCAGTAGGTATCATAATTTGTTGTTCGTGTAAGTTGATGATTTGTATGCATCGATGTCGCAGTCCACAAATCTGCATTGATCGGTGCTCCCCACATACCATTATTCATCGCGGCTGGAAACTGAAAGTCACTGATTGATGGTAGAAGCTCTGCATCAAGTTGAGATTGACTTGGATCATCTGATTGTAGTGGTGGTGCTGGTAGTTGTGGTAATGGTGCTGGTGGTGGCGCAGATGGTTGCCGGATTGAACCGTTTGAAACAAATGGATCAGAGTTAGTGTTGGGTCCACTTGATGGATAGTATGACACGGAGCAAACCGGGGAACGTACATTAATTACATGAGTGATAGTAGGGACTGAACTTGTAACTGTTTCCGTATCAACAGCTGTTCCTGTACTTCCATATCCACTACTCGACCCGCTTGACATCGAACGCAATTCATCCTAATAAATTAGCATTATTTCAGAAATTTTCGAGATCGAAGAAAATATGTGCACACTGATTGTAGCTGCACCATCAAATTTACATTTCCTGGCTAACCTTGGAAAAATTAATCAATCAGTGATTTGAATCATTAAATTTTATTAAAGGAACAAATGGAGGGGAAATAACACATCTTATTAAGGTAATTATTGAACAATTCATATGTCAAAAAGGTTAAAGAAATGATTTAAAACAATACATACCTGGTCAGCGGTCACCGAATTGTTGTTCGGATTGGCAATTGGTGATTGTCCAGTTGATGGTTGCTGATAGTATGCAGAGATGGGCTGATGATGCATCATCGACAATGTGCTATTGTTGCTTGTGCTATAGGAAGTATTTACATCACCCATATGATTCTGCAAGCATTTCAACAAATTTTAAAAATTAACATTTTGGATTCCTTCTACAACAGCTATCTCTAATAAAAATATTTCCTGCAATACAACCGAAGCATACAATTTCCAACTATTTCCAACTAAATTGTAGGAAAAGTTTACCATTTTTGTACAAGGAATTAATAGATGTTGCGATGGTACATTGGCTGTCGAATAGGAATACATTGAAGCGGTGGAATGTTGAGCTGAGGTATAAAAATCATCGTAAAAACCGCTTTCCGGTGTCATTGGTGTACTAACAAAATTATTAGGTGACGGGAACGGCTGTTGAAATAATCCTTCCTATAAAAGTATACAGGTAAATTTAATTAGAGTCGCTGTGTATTTCCCTAGAGGTTAAATAAATTTAAAGTATTCAACCTTGATCTCTGTTCCAGCAAAATTGCAGTGGATCAAGTATTTGCTATATATATATATATATATACATGACTATGAACTACGTATTCTCAAAATTTAGTAAGAAGGATAGTTTTCTAAAAAGAACACAAAACAAAGATGCATTTAAAAAAAAAGCAAATTCAATTAATTGATTTCTTAAAAGAATAATTCCAAATAAATAACTATAGTGTATTCAGAATAGAAAGCTGAACTTTTAATGAAAATGACACACTTTTACAACATAAGTTACCTTACATTATATTGCAACAAAATGCCCCTTATTTATTCTAATTTTTTAAATGCTACATTTTAAACTTTCAAACCTGTTTTATAACAACATTTGCAATAGGTGATGTCTTCAAATCATTCGTGGTCGAATTTAAATAACGAATACCATCATGGTCAATCTTCATCGATTTACCAGAAAATGATAAATGATGAGTTTCATTATGACTATTCATTGATAAACCAAGTACGCTGTAATATACACTAATAATAAAAAGTATAGATTTTCGTAATGGGATAAACTGACAGAACATATAGCTATGTTTGAAATTCTAAAATAAATATTTCTAAGCAAGGAATTTTCTTTCAATTCAATTTTTATATTTGGTTATTGCTTGAGAAAACAATTCCAAAATTAAATCAACCGTTTATGTGTTTTTAGTCGACTAGCACCAGTAATCGATGAAGTAACGCCATTTTGTCGTACTGCCTGACAGGATACCGGACAAGAATTACTTGCAGATACAGCAACCTGTCCATCTGCACCCTTTTTTGGCTTCTTTCGTGGCTTATATTTATAATCCGGATATTCCTTCATATGCATTACACGTAAGCGTTCTGCTTCCGCAATATATGGCGCTTTCTCACTATCCGATAATTGACGCCATTGTAAGCCAAGCTAAATTTGAAAAATGATGGAATTGTAAAAATTGAAAGAATACTGGTCGCCAAAAAGTTTTCGTTACCATAACATTATTTTAAATTCAATATTTTTTACATTATTTCCATCAAGATTTCATACAGCAACTTCTAAACATGTGAAACAATGAACTGAATTAAATGCCGAACCCTTTTGCTAATTTCCGCATTATGCATATCCGGTGAAGTTTCGCAAATCTTCCGACGTTCCATTTGCGACCAAACCATAAAAGCATTCATTGGACGTTTAATATGATTGCTCGATTTTTTACAATTTGTTGCATCCGTATAAGGTGTTGAACTGTTTTTAGCAACCTATATGTTTTAAATTAATCAATAACAATTAACTGTTAGTAATAGATATCAAAGTAAAAAATGAACTATCGCAGTAATTAAAACTTATGCATCAAATAATTCATATCCAATTGAAGAAATGCTGAAGAAATATGCAGTAAAAAGTATTTGAACTTTCCACTTTGAAAAAAAAACTTCAAATGCTTTAATAATCTTTATAATTTGAAAAAATCTAAATGAATTAAATGAAATTTGAGAAGTCACAGGGTAAAAAATGAGGATTTTTTGGTTGGAAGAAGTTTATACCTCATAAGAGCAAACCTTCAATGAGCCAAAATGTTCGGTAGGATCCCAATTATTTGATGTGGATGTTGGAAGGGTGGAATAATGTTGCTGAGTCTGTTGATTATTTATATCCAACTGAAAATGTTGTCCCAATTTAACCAATTCCATCGGTGACAAATTCTGAAAAAATCAAATCCAAGCTTCCAAGCTATACTTTAAATTCCAATCCATAGGTAAAATTTACCACTTTACTATCAATCAAAAATAATCCAAATGAATAATATGATAATAGAAATGTTCAAATTTATTTTGCAATTATCAAATAACAATATTGATTACTCATAGATCATTGTATTTTCCTGAGTTATTTCAAATATAAGACAAAAAGATCCTTTTGAAGAAATATAAACAATATTGGCAGTTATGATCGGGTAGAGAACGTGAAGAAAAGTGGATGAACAAGCATTACCATACACAAAGTGAAATGAATTGCTTTAGATGAAATTATTCACGCGAAATTTACGACCAAAAAATATTTAAAATGTCTAACATTTGAATATGAATAAAATCAGTGGTGCATTTTGAATAAGGACGGATGGAATTTAAAACGCAAACTTAGATATTATTAATGACAAATAGTTAGGATGAAAAAGGGATGGATTGCCAATTTGACAAGAGCTGCACAATTTGGAGAGATTCAATTGAAAAAGAAAAGAAAGCTACAAACTTACCTTTAAGTGATTTGTTTGGTTATGCGAGTTGAGATCGAATTCAGTTTTTAGAGGTAAAAAAGATACTGTAGATGAAGGCTTATCCACTATCAGGCTGCCAGATGACATTGTCACTTTCCCACACGATTTAAGCCAATTAGTACTATTTATAGTAATTAGTAATAGTATAGGAATAACCCCCTTGTGCTTTTCAAAGCGGATATATATGTGCTCCTAGAGATGAAGTATACGAACAAGACCGTCAAAGCTGCAATAAAATTACGAATTAATTAAAATTACACATCACTATGCAATTGCAACGGAGTAAAAATTTCGATGTTGTTGACCTATGACATTTACATCCTTCTCTTATCATTATTCCTTCTCTTGTTCATTGGACACAAGTAACCATTCCATCATAACATAAATGGTTATTGGTCATTCATTACTATCTTACCAAACAATTCAACATTATAACGCAATTCCAAATTACTGCCAACTAAAGTAGCACTACCATAACTCGAAATGTGCCATAAAAAAGTGTGTCAATTAATGATTTGGTTAAAAAAATATTAAGACATACTAAAAGGACTCACTTCTCATAATTTCTAATATTTTTGAAATTGAGAAGCGAATTTCCAAATAGAGTGGACAAAGCAAAAAGTTAATTCAGAACAAAAGATTAAGATGAGAAAAAAATTAAACCTCCTAATAGAGAAGACAACTTCTATTGAGGGATGTTTAAAGTTAAGATGAAATAGTTGGAAGTGGACAATGGACAGTGGAACACTTACTCAGTTGCATCAATGAACGGTTCCATATGAATAACAAAACAGAAGGAAGAAATGATTTGCTATCAATGAATATTTATCAGAATCAATTTGAACTGATTGATTGAATCACATTCTTCCCTTCCTATCTCTTGAATAATTTTGAATTAATGACTGATTGAAGACAGTATTTCCGAGATGACTGGCACTACGACAATAAATGAGCTTGAGAATGAAAAAAATTGACGACCGCGCAACGTATGTTGAAGAAAGAACTCAAATGAGAATTACAATAAAAGAATGTTACTTATTATCCGGAAAAAAATAGACAATTAGGACCAGACGAGATGCAACAGATTATCCTTGATTATATAAAAATAGTTAAATAAACCTCGATAACCTGCTAAATTCAAATTAATTCTAGCCCATGAGATCGGATAACAATGAATCAATTCTGGTGTATAAAGTCTATTCTATTCAATTCCTTTTTCCTGATTCTTCAATGTTCTATTTGGACTTCTAAATTCATCGTAGAACTTATTTCAATGAATTATGCAAAATATCAACAAATTAATTTTATTGAATATTAATGAATATTTTAATTTTGAAAATGTAATTAGACTTTTTATATTACAAAAAAAGTTTTTGCTATGAAATAAACGCAGTAAATAATGAAATTCTCTACTTCTCTATTTCTCTTATAACATTCTTAATCAAAATTTTTGATTGAAAGTTTGAAAAATGCGTAGAAAATTTTCAAGAAACAAGTTACTAATGAAAAGTTATTGTTCCAATCGATGAAGATTCATTCATAATAAATATCAAAAATTGAAACATTTATAAAACAATTCAAAAGCAAAATGTGTGTGTACTTGTAGTGATACCTTAACAGACCAATGGTTCCAACCGGTCATCAACTTACCTGTATGCTTTTTTTGAAAAACATACATATTATAATTGCTAATTAAGTCGATTACATTTTTATTTGTATTTACAGTATAAGCTTCATCACCAATTTTCAATAATTTTTTTTGGAAAATAAATGGAAGCAGAAAGAATGAGATTCGATAAATGCGCTCAATAGCAGCAACATATAATAGATGTGCGTACGGATGGACGAATTTGAAGTAGGAAGAATTTGGTCAGGTCTAATCTGATCTGATCAGATCACCTGGTGCTATCCTATCGTAAATCATTGAATTAAAATAGTAATGTAAAAACAAGATTTCACAATGATATAGCATTGTGTGATGGAAATGACAATGACCAAAAGTATGGTGAGAAGATATAATAGTATATGCATAGAAAACATGCATTGATAATTAGTGGAAAACAAGATTTTAATGGTGACAGAGGCTGGACACACGGTGATATGGGTCGAAATCGAGATTCGTTTCGATCTCAGACAGCTTCTTTTTCTTCTTGTTTAAAGGAGGGAAATAGTCTTTCAATGAAACGAAGTAACAAATTATTCAAAAGAAATTTTTTATTTGAAATATGACCAAAAGATGATGAAGAATAAAAGAATTGATTTGATTTACTAAATTTGCCTTTTCATTAATGATACTGAATATAAACCGAAACCATCTAGAATTTATACTCTTCTATAATTACAACAAAGAAATTTTTCTATCCAGAATTCATTCAATTTTGAGAAACATAATAAGCCAAATACTGAAACATTAAGGTTAAGCATTGAATGTATCCGTGTGTTAGAGCTGCAAATTATTAACACTTCCAGCGTTGACAGACAGTAAAGTTCACAAGGTCAGAGAGAATGAACAATATGTGCGGGGATAAGACTACTCATCATTTCCACTTTCATTCACGACAATACTGCAAAGTAAAATGATAGAGAGATATCTCATTCCAAATTAAAATTTGGCCAACAACGCGTGTTACACGAGAAAAATCGCTGAACGAAGTGCGTGTTAATTCAAAAGCAAAAATGAACTCTTCCTTTATTAGAGAGCACTGGAAATAGCGGAACATAGTAGAACATATAATAAAAAGTGGTTCGCAACCAAACAACATCTAGAAGTTATCCCCGATAAGGCAACGAATACCAACAAACCTGATTATTGTTGCCTATCAGTTGATATCCTATGGTCACTTTATAACTGAAAACAAGTTCTTGAAACCAACTTTATTACATCGAAAAACGATAAGTCTGATGATATTAGTAACATTTCATTTAATAATTTAAAATTTGATTTTGTTTTCAACCTCGACAAATATACTATGACCAATTTACTTTTTTAGGCCATTTTATATATATGGAAATTTCTACGACGTTAATGTTATACATAATTATAGAATAGCATTTCTTGTCGATTAAAAGAGCAAGTTAGGTTCTAAAATTAGAAATTTATCAATTTATAATAAATGGGATGATATTAGGCCTTTCAATAAATGAGACAAAAAATATATCCAATCAAAAAGATAATTAATTTTGGTCAAATAATCAATTTAACAAGAAGTTCTTAGCTTGGCTCTATTCGCTGGTTCACTTTCATTTATTTCATATTTTCTCATGGCAATCTCAAACTCTTTAGTCTTGCAGGGAACAGAATATAGCGTAGGTTCGGTTATATCGGACATTTTTAAATAGCTATCAGTTAGCATCACAGATAAAATTACTTTTTCTGATGTAAATCTTGACCTTCCCTTAACTGATCTCTACACATATAACATAATAAGCGGCAATTCTAAAACAGTCAAGTCAATAATTCATGAAAATTTAATAAAAATTATCAAATATCTATAATATTTTCCTAATGACACAATCGTTGCAACAAATTATTGGCATAACAAAACATTCGAGTAACCATAAAATTTCATCCGATAAAAAATATTATTTGAAAATTATATTAACAAAAGAAAATACAAAGTAATTCTCAACAGAAAATAGCTCATTTCGAAAACTTTAAACATGCCTTCAAGCTTTACTTATTATAATTACTCCAAATGTAGTAACAATATTATCTTAATAAGATCAATATTTTCTAAAAAACCAATAGTTAAAATCTATAAAAAAAAAAGTTCAGGAAGTACTATCATGCATTTGCAATAAGCATGCAAATTCATGCAGTGTGATAAACAGTTCGTAAGAAGTTTCAAACATGATGGTCTTGTTGATTCTGTATAAAAACGGAAACGAAACAATACGAAACAAAAAGCAGAAAGAGATCAATGAGTGAGTGAAGATAAAAGTTTGAAATGATAATGGCATAAAACAAGAATTTTTTTTGCTTTCGGATCGCAGAAAAAATACGGCGGTATTGCCTCAGGCTGAGTAAATCATTACCATTCCTGCAGTGGTCATTATTATCATTTTTGCAACAATGTAAGCTATAATGATTATCATCTTCATGATCGCTATCATTATTATTATTATTACTACTACTATTATTATCATCACTATTGAAATTATCGCTTCATCTATCTATATTACTACAATAAATCAAAATTTCTCACTCTTTTCAGCATTGATTTAATAGCAAACAAAAAACAAGTTTCCATTTCTAGTGTATAATATAAATGACCATACAAAACATTACGCATTATATTACAGATAATAGCATTTAAATTTTAAGAATGAAAAAGTTAAAGACATTTGCGCCAAACGCGTTGTATTTTTTGGCTGGTATAATCGAAAAATTAAGAAATTAAACGAACTTCGTTCAAAAGAAAAGAAAAGTTTTTTAATTCAAATTCACTTTACTAGTTATTTATTTTTATGAAATAAACTTTATACTATAATTAATAATGTTTGAATTGAAGGAATAAGATTTAAAAAGTATGAACGATCATCCTAATTGCATTACGTTCAGATCAGTGAAACTTTCTAAATTCCCGCCATTCACTGCCGCAATCTCTTCCTTCTTCACCGATATCAGGAAATTTTGATTTAATAAAGTGTCATGGCACGATGTCAGTACCAATTACATACTTCAACCACTTTCGGGAAGAGTAGGCATGATCGGTTCTAACGCAGTAGGGGGTACCTTGTACACCAAACAGCGTCCCACAGCGCAACAATGGCCACTAACCTCTCGCCTCCCAAACATCTACAGCAGAAAAATGAACCATCTTAATATGTCATCTAAAATAAGCTCAATATCGAAATCTATACAATAAACAATTGAGTTATCAAAAATAAATTATTGATACTAACACGTACAATTAATTACAAATGTACAATCATTACCTATGTTAAATTCAACGAATGATATTAAAAAACTAATTTAATTATCTTGAAATTATATGTCCATGAATTTCTCATCTGTCCTTCGAGATGGCTACTTCGATGGATAATTCGCTCCATACCGTTCATCAGAACACAATTAAACCTACACT